CCTCAAACTCACAGAGATCCGCCTGGCTCTGCCTCCCGAGGGCTGGGATAAAGGCATGCGCCACCACCACCACCACCACCGCCGCCCGGCTAGTAGTTACTTTTTATTGTTGCTGCTGTGGCTAAATAACTGGCCAGAAGCACTTCACGGAGGAGAGGTTTATTCACGGTTTCGGGGATACAGCATCACGGCAGGGAAGGCATGACAGCAGGAGCAGCTCCTAGCTGTGGAGTGGAAGCTTGCTCACACCTAAGCAGATCAGAAAAGAGAGACAAGAGAGTGCCAGCCATCATCTGGCTTTCTCCTTTTCCCTATTCTATTTTCTTCAGGATCCTTGCCCATGAGGAGATGCCACCCACATTCAGGGTGGATTTTCCCTCCTCAGTTAAACCTTTCTAGAAATGCCTTCACAGACACATGCTCCAAATGTGTCTCCTAAGTGATTCTAAAGCCAGTCAAGTTGGCACTGAAGATTAACCATCACACCACTCTGCCTGCCTTCTGCAGAGACCTGGGCACTTCTCTGGGCCACCTGCAGGTGCTGTGGCTGGCTCGTTGTGGCCTGAGTGATTTGGATGGCATTGGCTCCTTCTTGGCACTGAAGGTAAGTCTGTAGCACTTGGGGTCAAGGAACGGAGATCAAGTTAGACCCCAGCTGAGATTCCCCCATGTGGTCCTCAGGAACTTTATGTCTCCTACAACAACATCTCAGACCTGAGTCCACTGTGCCTGCTCGAGCAGCTGGAGGTGCTGGACCTTGAGGGCAACAATGTGGAAGACCTGGGGCAGATGCGGTACCTGCAGCTGTGCCCACGGTTGGCCACGCTCACACTGGAGGGGAATCTGGTGTGCTTGAAGCCAGACCCCGACCCTTCCAACAAGGTGTGGGTGCTGAACACCCAGGCAGCATGAATCTGGGAGGGACACCCCCCCCCAATGGGAACCTCTGTGCCCACATGCACCTTCTGGCTTGTTGTCTGTGAGACAGAGCTATCTCTTCTGTCACTGGGCACCTAAACAGCCTAACTGTTTGGATATATCAGGCATATGTAAGCTCCTTTGCAGCAGGTAAATCCACATGCACTCACAAAGGCCATGCATGCTCCAACCTCACTGTCCACCTCAATACCTGTTTGATGTTGACCTATAATCAGTTCCACATGCTAGAGGGCATCCCTGAACCTTGGCTATGGGCTTGGGGGGGGGTGAGGGTACCCATAGGCTACGGTAGGATGAGGCAGCATCGCTACCCTGTCTCCTCTGTCCTGCACCATCGCAGTCTGGAAGAGGAAGCCCCAGGAAACAGCTGGTCTGCAGGGCCCACCAGACCCAGGTCTGCTGTCCCCCTCCCTCTACCCTTTAGGCACCCCAGGACTACAACTATAGGGCAGAGGTAAAGAAGCTTATCCCCCAGCTCCACATCCTAGATGAGGTCCCCACCACATGCACCAACCTGCCTGCTCCCCACAAGCTGAACCAGGACTGGCTGATGGTGAAGGAGGCCATCAAGGAAGGCAGCGTGCTTGACATTCTCTTCCCTCGGCTGGGTAGGCCAGACACTTACTATGGACCTCGATACTAAGCCCTAACCCCTGACTCTAGAAGAGACCTCCTCCAGCCCTCCAGGAAGACAGGCTTCTACCAGTACCCCAAGAGGACAGGCCTCCTTCATCCCCAGGAAAAAAGACCTCCACTAGTTCCCCAGGCCTTGTAGAGATGGGTGTCTGCATTTCATTCCCTTTCCCAGCCTTATCTCCCAGAACCATGCAGATTGGCCCAGGTCAGGATATTCCCATTAGCAGCACCAGCTTGCTTCCCCTTTCCTACGTTGAGGGAGAGGAGGGTCTGAGGCTGAGGGTCTTTCTGGAAGGAAAAGGAACCATCATAGGCCAGCCCCTAGGTCACACAACTTGTTGAGGGACAGGGCTGTGTTCTGTGGTCTGAGTTTGAAACATGCTGGCTAGCATGAGCCCAGTGATCTCTGGATCTGACCCTGGACAGATTGTTCCCATGGAACCACCCTACGGAAACTTGACCCAACCTTGCCTGTGCCTGAGACCCAGCCATGGACTCTGTCCCTGCTGGTCCCTGAGGTCCCCTTGCCTGAAGGTCTGCTTTCTGAGAACCCAGCCACAGAAGACCATGCCAGCAACCTCACCCATGGTAACTGAACCTATTTGGCCCAGAGCTGACCCTGCAGTACCTTGACCCCAAACCAGGCATAGCCACACCCTCTTCTTTAGGTGCTGGTCAAGTTCTCTGTGGGAACCCCACCAAAGGCCTGCGGGAACGTAGATACCAGTACCAGGTATGCCTTCCCCATACTCCAGAGTGAACTAGGACTACAGCTCTCCTTCCCAAAGTGGACCATCACCTATTGCCCTCACCCCACAGGAGACCCATTACCTAGAGTCCTTCCCCCACCATACATCAGTGTTCAGGACTACTGCCATGTCCATACTCTGGCTCTCCCATTCCAGGGTCAGGGTCCCTATACCAGCCCTTTCCCTTCCTAGGAATGGGCACCCCTGGAGCAGCTGCCCCCACATAGGCCTGATCTGGCCACCAGCCCCTCCACCCCAAGGCCTGACCCTGCAGAAAGCTGTGACCTGGCCATGACTGGGCTTCGGGCCTGGAGGGAGCCTGGCCTGCGGTTGGTGTCCCTCACCCTGCCAGCCCTACCACCTTTTGTCTTGTCTTTGGGGGGTGGGAGCTGGGCTGGAAGCTGCGTTGGCTGAGCAGCCGTTGGTCCCCCAAGATGGCCACAGAGATCCATCCCAGTATGATGACCATTTGGGACTGGGTCTGAGACAGACGTGGTTGCAGCTCTGCCTTCTCCACCTCAGTCCCCTCCTCCACAGGCAGCTGGAGTTCCAGCAGGAAAGGCTTGCTCAGGCTCCAGCTCAGGACCCACAGAGGGCTTCTGAAGAACAGGAAGACCAGACTGGACCAAAGACTTCCCTAATCCCCCCACGCCTGACCTCAGGTACACTACCTCAGTGCCTGAGAGGAACCTGACCTCCACCACCTGGGTATGGATGTCCCCACCTCAGATCAGTGTAATATAGTTCAGCCCCTTCCTTTGCCAGGCTCTGGGAGGGGCTACATGAGACAGTCCTCTTCTTAGCGGAGTAGGGGTGGGTGAGTTTCACAGCCTATGGATGGTCAATCCCAGCTTCTCCTCCATACCAAGGACACCTCAAGGGCACCTGGGCTAAATGAGAGAGGGAGGCATTCCACAAAAGGATACAGGGCAAGTCCAGAGGCAAGCACCTGTTAGGAGCCTCATGGTGGCCAAGGGATCCAGAAGCAGACACCAGTTGTCAGGAGAAACTGGAAGGAATCCAGGGGTAGGAAAGTGGCCAACAAAACCACCAGGATACCAAGGCAGAGAAGGTTAGGAACATTCAGTGGCTTCAACCCAGGCAGGACTGACCTGTGCTGGCATAGGGATGCAGAATGAAGCCAGGTAGAACCCTTTCCAAGGAAGCCAGAGTGACTGCTGCCTCACTGGAGAGACCCTTACCCAGCAATGCCTTAGAAAGGCACACTGTGGCCATGGACAAAAAGACTGATGGTATAAAGGTTGCCAACCACCATCTCTGAAGGACCAAACAACCACACTTTTGCCCCTCTGTAGACTGGCTAATGCTCGAGGCAGTGGGCAGGAAGAGGGCCCTGAGAGTAAAGCAGGACCAACAGCAGGTCCTCCAGTGGACAAGAATTGTGCAGGTTAAAGAACAGTAGGAAGGTGACCAGCAGAGAGTTGGCTGGAATGGTGTCTAGCCCTCTTGCTACAGATGTCAGGCCTAGAAGGCACTGGATGACCCTAGCCACCCACCTCACACTATTACAGAAGCTTAAGAACTAGCCTGGAGCTACCAGGCCCTCAGGGATGAACACATTCTCAAGGATGGAGCTCAGATGACCAGAGCCAGAGCCCAGCCACTTGGTTTGCCTTAGAGCAGTGCTTCTCAACCGTCCTGATGCTGCGACCCTTTAATACAGCTCCTCATGTTGTAGTGACCCCCAACCATAAAATTATTTCCTTGCTACTTCATAACTGTAATTTTGCTACTGTTAAGAATCATAATGTAAATATCTGATATGCAGGATGTCTGATACACGACCCCTGTGGGGATGGTGACCCTCAGGTTGAGAACCACTACCCTAGAGATAGCCACAGGGCTGAAGCCATATTTTCTCTGGAAAGCAGATGAAGCAGAGCAAAGGGATGTGGCCTAGTGGAACAGGTTCAACAAAGGCCACTGAGACTCTCTCTACCTGTGGTTGCACTGTCCATAGCCTGCCACCATCTCCAGGCTACAAGATGATGGGTAGGCAGCAGCTGGTACCCCCCACCTTGTCGGCCAGGTCCCCTCTGACATGCTGTTTTCTTCCTTGCTTTCTAGAACTTTCCAGGACATCGGGCTTTCACCTGATCCCTTCTCCCCCGAAGTACCCAATGCCTCCTGAGTCAGGCAGCAGCTCCTCGGGGAGACCTGCAGACCTGCCCTTCAGAGGGCGCAGGCTTAGAGTCCTGGGTAGCTTAGGGCCTAGCCTGGCTGAGGGGTCTGGCCTGGGTGAGAGGTTGGCTGCAGTGACCGCCCTGAGAGCCCTGGAGGTGTCCTCAGGTCCCAGCCATCGAGTCCAGGGATGTCCAGACCCAAAGTCAGCACTAGGTCCAGCAGCTTGCTCTCCAGGCCTCCACTGCCTCCATCACCTGAACCCAATCCCTCCAGCCCATTCTCTCCCTTAGCATAACCCTCTCTTGGCCTGGATGGGACCAAGGCTGAAGTGGCTGGGACTGGGGCTGGGCTCTTTGGATGCCCCAGGACTCTGGTTCACCTATGTGACCCAAGTTCTAAGCCTGCTTGTCCTTAGCCTCAAAAGGGCACAGCCATCCTGGGTGGATTTGCAGGTTTCCCTATGTGGGGCAGTTCCTTTCTCTCGGGACACCATAGACCCTCTGTAAAAGCCAAGTGAATCATTTTCGACTCTCAAGTGTGCAGAAATGTGCTTTACTTTGTAAGCAACGGTTGGTTCAATAAATTATGCAGCTGGCACTGCCTGCCTGGCCTGGCTGCCCTACAACCGCCGAGACAAGTCCTCGGTGATAGGAGGGTAGCAGAGGAAGCGGAAGCCATATCTGCTCTCGGCTGTGCTCTGTACTGACAGGGCCACCATGGGGCAACTCAGGTCCACGCTTTTCCGGCACACCTGCAGAAAACATTGGGGCCGAAGAACTCGGTGGACTGGCAGACCCGAGAACCCGGGGCAACAGCACCACACTCACCTGGACCTTCCGCTCCTGCCTACCCAGCGAGTCCTCGAGGCACATTCTTGAGGCACACTCTGGGATTGCAGGGAGGAGCTCAGATGTCTCCGGCTTCACACCTTCCTGCTGTGCAGGAACTTCCCCAGGGTAAAGAAGCTTGCGGGTGCTCAGGAGCGGCAAGATATCCCGTGTCTCGTTGGGGCGAAGAGATCCTGAAGTCCTCTGTCCACTAGTGCTGGCGCGGGAGAGCCTTTGCTGGCGAACACCTGGCCTGGAGATGTGGGAGGGGCCTGAGGAGTATCCTAGTCAATCGGGGCAAAGGTGGGTGTAATGCAAGATAGTTTGGGCCAGGGTAGTAGTCCTGTCCAAGGCGACGCCTAGGGAAATAGGGGATGGGTTTCGAGAGGCAGAATCAGGGGCTTGCACCTACCCCGGCTTCTTGCGCCTGGTCCCAGCACCCCGCACCCTGCCCTTGTGTGGGGATGGAGGACGACGCTGCTCTTCGCCAGGGTCAGCATTGGGCTCGGACTCTGAGAGCGGGAAGCGGTCAATGGACCAGTCAGTGTTGTCTTTGAAGATCTTCGAGCCCAGGGTCATGCAGGGTGCAGCTTGATGCTCACTGAGGACCTGCAAGGCCATCAGGGTGTGTGGTTAACTCTAACCCAGTCAGGTCGGCTCCTCAGCTCCTTAGCTAGGATCAGCACTGACCTGGCCTTGAGGGTTGACTAGTACTGTCACACAGCCTCGACTGGATTGGAAGTAGAAGGGGTCCTGGCCCGAGGACACTGGCAGCTGCTTCTTGGTCCTGCTAGTTCCTTCGCCCCATACCTAGGAAAAGGCTGGGTGGTAAGTGAGGAACAGTGTAGGCTGGGGCAAGACAATTTGAGCTGGCAGGCAGCAAGGGTTCACCGTGATATGGTGCTGTGGGGCTAGCAGAGTACCAGGCGGGAATCGGTACATGCACACGGGGAAGTCCCTCACAAGCTGCTTCAGAACAAAGCCACCCAGGTCGACAGTCTCGGCCTGAGACTGGTTGAGGATGCGGATGAACTTCTCTCGGTGGCTGACGGCAGTGATCTTCAAGGAGCAGCCAAGTAGGCTGGACAGAAAGGAATGCTGGGTGAGGAAGAGGGGCCACCCACCCAGAAAGCCCACCCACCAGGCAGTCCTCCCTGCTCCCTGCTTCTCCTGGTGTGCTCATGGGCGCTCTCACTTCAGCTGGGGCCTTGCGTACTGGTGGTGAAGGTCTGTACAGGACTCCAGAACAGTCTTGCTGAACGACGCTGAGCGCCTCTTATGGGGATCTAGAAAAAGAAGTCCTTTAGGGGAAGGAGAACACAATGAAGAGTCCAGTGGGGGAGTTCCCCAGGAGGCCCGACCAGGGGTCTGCATAACAGGGAAACAGCAGCAGGGTTCAGATCCTGGGCAGAAGCAGCTGGACCTTGGGGGCTGAAGAACCTGAGTAGGACTTTGGGCAGAGGTGAGAGGTTGCTCAAGGGCGAAAGGGAGATGCACCCAACTCCACCTTCCATGTGTCCACTGAAGCTCCTAGTGCACTCCTGAATCTGCTCAGAAGCAGCTAAGTCTGTTCCCTGGGCCGGGTGGTCCGACACCTTCTTTGTTCCAGAATGCTGAACTATCTGGTAGCTGTTAGAGTCAGAGTCGGTTCCCCCTGAGCTGCTGGAGTCTACCAAAGGCAAGGCGCTCCACTCCAGGATTTTGCCAGGCTTCTCCATAGACTTGATGGCGTACTCCGAGTCCCAGGTATCCATATCGTAGGACGGGTGGGGCTGGAGCAGCCTGGGACCATGATATGTTCACTGGCTGCTTTGGCTCCTAAACCCAGGACCCATGCCCCCAACCCCAGTTTGCCTCCCCAAGGCAATGGGTACCCTGGTTTGTGTTCCAGGATCTCCAGAGTCAGACCCAGCTTATGGTAAATTAATGAAGGTAATGATGACCTTGGAGCTCCTCCCCTTTTCTTGAACCCATTCCACATATTACATATCAGAGCTGAGGCTTGAAAGGGTTACATGACTTGTCTGGGAACACTTAAGGATACAATGGGAACTGGTCCACTTCTGTCAAGCCAAATCTTCCCTTCCCCTGACCCCTGGGAACTCCCTGTTCAATGCAGTTACTTTTGTTCTGAGTGGAAACTCATGTTGGAGAAGAGGTTGGGATATCGTTGGGCAACGCTGTTCCAATCTACATCCTCCAATCGGAAACCCTAGCAGGAAAAAAAGAGGTATGTGCCTCCCCGACCTTGCAGGGCTTGAGAGAACCTTATCATACACGTGGAATGCCTCCTGTGGTAGCCTTGCTCACCTCCGTGCCAGAGGGAACCTCAACATAATCAGAGGAGTCAGTAGGGTCTCTTAGAACCTCTGCAGTAACCACCTGAAAGAAGGAAACACAGGGGCTGGAGTGATGGCTCAGAGGTTCAGAGTGCTGGCTACTCCTCCAGAGGACCCAGGTTCAATTCCCAGCACCCACATGGAAGCTCACAATTGTCTATAACTCCAGTTCCAGAGGATCCAGCACCCTCACACAGGCATATATGTAGGCAAAACACCAATGCACAAAAAATAAAAATACATAATTTAAAAAAAAAGAAGAAGGAACCACAGACTAGCTGGCAGGGAACTTGAGGGAGGACACCCTTCCCCAACAGGGCCTCTCACTTTTGACTTTAACAGCACTTTATGTGAACTAGATGAGGAGGATGCTGGTCATATGATTCCTTCTTGTGGAGACATCCCAAGGAAGACAAGGTTTCTCAAGCATGCTGGCTGCCCGAGGAGTGTTGCGGGGGAGGGGGGTTGTCTGAAAGGTATTGGGCCAGGGGCACAAACTCACCTCTACACTGCCTGTCTGAGACCGAATCACGCGGCCCACCCAAGAGGAACGGGCCAGCTGTAGAAGGCATGATTTCTCGAAGGTCTGCAGCTCGGCCTCCATCTGCTGCATTGCACAGAGGTTCTGGCGAAGTTTCTCCTCCATCTGCTCTTTCTCCTGATCAAGAATGCCTGCCAGTGAGAGGCCTCCAGCAGCCTCTCCCTTCAGACCAACCTTAGGTGGGGAGCTACTGCCTGCCGAGGTACTGCCCTGTTCCCTGATCCCATGCCCTCACCAGCTGAGCATGTTCCTTCTGGGCTTTCAGCTCCAGCGTAAGCTTCTGGACCTGGTTCTGCAGGAATTTGTCTTGACTTTTGGAGTGCCTGGTAGGAGGGGCAATCTCAGCCCTTCTAGATCAGGCCAGGATTGCTGAGAGTAGGTCAGCAGTAAAGGATGCCCCACAGCCACCAAAGCCTGAAGGCACACATTATAGCAGGCCAGGGCAGAATAAACCCTAACAGGTCTGGGCAGAGGTCTACATGCTCAGGGGTAGGGTTACATTTCCAACACAGTAACTTATTCAAAAGTATGTTGGGGTGTCAAATCATGCAAAGACTACAGATAGCAGCAGTCAGGTCGAGGGCTCAGGGGTAGAGGTTGGCTTCAGACAGAAACAGCAGGGTAGGACCTGGGTTGGGCTGGGGGTTTCGCCACTGACCGCTCAGGGGGAATCCCTGCCACCTCCTGCAGGATGTGGTAGTATCGGGCATTCTGGCTATTCTGGACAGCCCACCGAAGTGCCTGGATCTCTAGTTCTCTCTGTTCCCATAACAGTCTCAGGGTACGTGGGTCCAGGGTTTCAGGAGCTAACCTGTAATTCCAGTTCCATGTGGTTTGATCAGGGCTGGGTCTTTGGCTGGCCCAACCCAGGAGGCTGCCCCATCCCCTGCCTCCTTACTGCTGCTTGAAAGAGCAGCCTACTGGTATGGATGCGCAGTAGGGCTTACTGCTCTGGGAACTCGAAGGAGCCACTGTGTCCACAGGTGTGCCAACTGGGGACTCTAAGTCACTGCTGTCTGGCTTTACACCTGCTGGAGCTGGGGACACCTGCTCATCTTCAGACTCCTGGCAAGACTTAGGGGCCATGCTCGATGTTGGTCAGGAGCTGGAAAGGAAGGAGGTAGGATGGAATCTGCCCTGTGTCCCAGGTGTGGGAAACGCATGGGGCTCTCTTTGGGTGTCAGAGAGGCCCAGGCAGCATTTGCCAGTTCTCTCTGAGGGGATCTACACATGTGCCTACCCAACAGGACACAGGACTGCTGGTCATATGAGTGTCCTCCTCTGTATGTTTCAGGCTAGGACAGCAGGTCACCTCCCAGGAAGCACGTCCCAAGTATGTACATATATTCCCTGATGTCTCCTCTTTGTCCCCCTAAAGCTCAGCCTAGAGCTAAGATCAGAGGTGCTAAGCTTTTGCCTATAACCCTTATTCATGTGCCTCCAAACCAGAAACTCACCCCCACACTCACCTGAGGCCTAAACCCACAGAAGGCCTAGAGAGGGAAGTGTTCTATACTGTTGCCATGGATTTCTGCACCTGGGGGGAGGGTGTCTGTTACCAGGAGCCTCCAGGGAGACGCAGGGCCATGAGTGCATTCTGTGCCAGTGAGGTTTAGATATGTAAGCTCAGCTAAGCCCTGGAACCCATCCCTAGCCAGTGGTGATAGGCAGGTACTGGGGAATGGTGTCCTGTGAGTGAATTGAATATGTGTGTGTGTGTTAAGTGTGTAAATGGTCCTAGGGATCTGAGATGATTAAGGGAGCAGTTGAGGATGGTGGTAAGAGACTGGAGTGGCTGTGCTAACTCTAGCCTATAAATGAGCCTATGTCTGATAGCCATCTACCTAACCCTTGGAAGCCTTATCTTCCTGTGTCTATCTCTGTACCTCTGGGCTCTCCCAATGGTGGTTCCACTAGTGAACCCTGGGGGACATTGCTTCTGCTTCAGAACAGAAGTGAGGCCCAGGAGAGGCCCCTTCTACCTTGTCCCTTCCCCAGCTCCATACTTCCAACATTTGCTTCCTTATGGCCACAAGAGCACGAGTACCTCCTCCCACAGCTCTCTGTGATTGGGACAGAGCACGTGGGGCTGGACTGGCTGGATTTAGCCCGTTGAGACACAGGGAAGACGTTAAGGCAGGGGCCCGCTTCAGGGAGAGAAGGGCTGCTCTGGAGGGCACTGGGCCCACTGGGGGAGGGGAGAGGATGGAGCTTCAAACAAAGACCCCAGGGTCTTTGTCGCAGGCAGCCTCAGGAACGGTCCCCTCCCCCACCAGGGCTACAGAGCCCACCAGGTCAGCCGGCCCCTAAACTCCACCTCCCTCGGATGGCGGGCGGGAGACATTCACGTCCTCTCTAACTGGTGTTCTCGGCTACAGATTCCTAAGAAAGCAGGGATGGAGAGGCCTAGCCTACGGGGCTGGTGAAGGAAGGGCGAATGTTGCGCTCGGGTACATGTCAGAGTTGCAGGGTTGCAGTCAGGATCCCTCTCGGTGGGCGGAGACCAGTCACACTGAAAGTCTGTTGAGGAAGTCCGCTCTGGAGCTGGGAACACACCTGGGCTAAGCAGCCCAGAGCGAACGCAGCTGCCGACGCGCTTCCGCGTTGATCACCGGCGGTGAGCATCCCCGGCGCCCGGGTCCTGCCCTTACCCACTCAGGGCCCCGCCCACACCTGGATGCCTGCGGGCGGGACAGAGTAGCGAGCCAATGGGGCGTGGTGGGAGGAAGGCCGCCAATGGGAGTGGGCATGGGGCGGGATGCACACGCCTCCGATCTAATGGGGTGTCGTGGGGCGGGGCGTGCGGGCCGCGAGCCAATGAGGCCGTGAGGTTGGGCGCGCCGCAGCGCTGGGACAGCAGGTTGAGGCGGCGCTGGAGCGCCTACGTCCCGGAGGCCAGCGGGCGCCCAGGTGAGCTGTGCCGGGTTCTCGAGCCTCCTGAGCACTGGGCGCGGCACCCGGGAGCCGTCTCCGTCCCGGGAGAAGCGGATCTGGGCGAAGGGGCGCGCGGTGGCTGTGCTGCACCTGCGTCTGCCAGCTGCGGAGTGGGGACGTCTGGATCCCGCGCGGCCGGGATCAGCCGTGAGGCGGGCTGTGTGCCCCCAGCGGGGCGGGACCACTGGAGCCCAAAGTGCTGGCTGGACGGGAGGGACTGCAGAGGCGGACCAGGGACTGGCGGGGGGCTGCTCAGATCTGGGGTCGGTTCGGAGATGGAGGTCTGTCTGGGTCGTAACTCTCAGCTCCTCCCGGCCCAAGACTGTTCCTTCCCTGGGGGCGGGGGGGGGGGGGCGTTCCCATGACTGTGGACGGCGTCGTATTTGCGTATGGTCGGTGTTAGGTGCCTGGGGACAGCCGCCTGCGTGAAAAGGGTAGTGAGTGGCCCTTGAGCCAGGTGACCGGGGGACAGGAAAACTTGGACCTGGTTAATAATTTGCCCTGTTCCTGGAGTGGGGTGGGTGGGGCAAGAGGAGGCTGGTGCAGAAGGGGACGCCTCAAAATGCTCAAGAGGGCCAAACTAGTTCCCCTGCCACTCCAGGAATGTGTGGCCTGCGGGTGGGGCTGGGCATAGGAGGGCAGGGCTGAAGGGCCACAGTCCTAAGTCAGTTGTGGCAAACCAAGAGAAGAGGAAGGCCAGACTATGATGGAGGCAGGCCTGGCCTGATCTTATGACCTGTGTCCTCCCCACAGGACAGGGATGGTCTTGGAGCTTGTGGTCATGGAGCTGAAGGTGTGGGTGGATGGCATCCAGCGGGTGGTCTGTGGGGTCTCAGAACAGACCACCTGCCAAGAAGTGGTCATCGCGCTAGCCCAAGCTATAGGTGAGTTCCCCGGGGACGGAGAGGCAAACCGGTGGGGCTGGAGTCCAGCTCTGTCTCCCCTCCCGAGGAGGGTGGGGTTGACTCCACCCTTTTACTGCTCTATTCCTCAAGCCAGGTGGATAGAAAGGGGTGATATAGACTGACCCTGTCTTTCCCCCACAGGCCAGACAGGCCGCTTTGTCCTTGTGCAGCGTCTTAGGGAGAAGGAACGGCAGCTGCTGCCTCAGGAGTGTCCAGTAGGAGCCCAGGCCACCTGTGGACAGTTTGCCAGTGATGTCCAGTTTGTCCTGAGGCGGACTGGGCCCAGCCTGTCTGGAAGGCCCTCCTCTGACAACTGTCCACCCCCGGAACGATGCCCAGTTCGGGCCAGCCTCCCCCCAAAGCCATGGGCAGCACCAGGCCGTGAGCCACACAAAGCACTGACCTTCAACCTAGGATGTCCCAAGCTGGTCCCCAACCCCTCGAGCCCTGAGCCTACAGCTCTGGTAGGACCCACGCCAGACTGCTTTGCAGACCTGCAGGGCCTAGAACTCAGGATACAGAGGAATGCTGAGGAGTTGGGCCACGAGGCCTTCTGGGAGCAGGAGCTGCGAAGAGAACAGGGCAGGGAGCGTGAGGGACAGGCGCGCCTCCAAGCACTGAGTGCAGCTACTGCCGAGCATGCTGCCCGCCTGGAGGCCCTGGATGCCCAAGCCTGTGCCCTGGAGGCAGAGCTTCGGCTGGCTGCTGAGGCCCCTGGCCCTCCTTCAGCAACCGCATCTGCTACGGAGCGCCTACGCCAGGACCTGGCCATCCAGGAGCGCCATAGTATGGAGATGCAAGGCACCTTGGCCCTGGTGAGCCGGGCTCTGGAGGCTGCCGAGCATGCTCTGCAGGTGAGCCCAGGAGGTCTAGACCCCTGTCAACGCCCCGCCTGCTACACAGCCAATGCGTCAACACTCCATCTGCTGTCTGGGCAGTTTGGGAGTTTGATATAAGACCAGGGAGCATGCGGTATGTGAGAAAGAAGGTCATGGGCTTGTTCCTGAAGGTCCCGTGTGCCCCCAGGCTCAGGCTCAGGAGCTGGAGGAGCTGAACAGGGAACTCCGACAGTGCAACCTGCAACAGTTCATCCAGCAGACAGGGGCTGCATTGCCACCACCACCTTCACAGCTGGACAGAAGCATCCCCGGCACACAGGTCAGAGTAGTTCTGGGAAGAGGTGATGGTCGAGGGGCCACCCTAGTTCTCAACTGACCTGCTTTCCCCACAGGACCTTCTGCCTCCAGCCAGAGAAGAGCCCCTCCAGGGAGTCCCCCAGAGCCATATCCTAGTGCCCAGCCTGAGTCCCGAGGGTATGTTTCTCTCCCTACCCCTACCCCCAGTCCACAGGAAGGGCCCAGCTCTGGTTTCAGCCCATTCAGCCTGTGTCTTTCTCACAGTTCCCCCCATGAGGCAGAGCTCCTGGAGGTAGCAGTTCCTGCTCAAGTAGGGGACACTGAGGACAGATGAGCCAGCACAGCTGGAATGAGCCACCTGGACAATGGGAGAGTATGACCACAGGATTCTTTCCCTAAAGTGGGGAAAGCTATAATGTCCCGGGGTTTCTGCGTCAGGGGGCGGGAGTGCTAGTGACATGTTGTCCTAGTCTTCTTCAAGTCTCCCAAGTCCCCTGGAGAAGCAATGGGCACAGTTCAGAACTTACCACGCCCCAAAGGCCACTACTTATCGGAGGAGTGAGAAGTGTGGACAATGCATTCATCCTGTGGGTGTGTGCCTGCTGTTCACTCCACAGAACGTGTGCTGCCTTCCTTGCCCTGACAAACCTCAATAAACTACCTTTCAAAGGTGCTTAAGTATGTTCTGACGTTGTGCCACTGGGCAGTGTCTGCAGTTCAGAACTTGAGGGCCACATGGCGGCTACTGCTGGGTTCCTGAGAAAGCAGTGTTTTCAGAGGCCAGTACTCAGTAGGGTCCAAAGCTGGGGCTCCCAGGGTCCCGTGTTCTGACTTCCTAGGGGCATTTATTTGTAACCCCTAGCCTGGTGAGGCTTGCCAGCTCAGCCCTGGCCTGGGTTTTTATCTGGACCCTTCTTCCCTGGCTTTCCTTGTTTGGCCTGTGCGCCACCAGCAGCAGGAACTGAGGATGCCAGGACAAGCTAGACCCGCCAGTCAGGTTTGCTGAGAACTTGTGGGGGCGAGTCCTGGACTCCTGGGTCAAGTCTATGACTTCTGGGTTGGCCAGGCTCAGGGAGTTTTCCCTAGAAAACTTTGCCAGCCCCAGGGTGGATATGGGCATTGAATGGTAGGGGCTGTCCCTCTCCTAGAGTGGGTGTGAAGCCTGTTTATGAGCCTCCAACTTCGACACTGGGGCAGGGATGCTTCCACAGCCCAGCCCAGCTACTGCTCTGGCTCCTGAGCAGATAGTGACCACTTCCAAAGTCCCAGTTACCCAGGCAGACCACATGTTCTGAGTTCCTGGGGCTGGAAATGTTTGCAAGGATCAGAACTATGGGTAGAATTGGGTGAAAAGATGGGGACACCATAGATTATGAGGGTCTTCACACCATATTGAAAAGGACATTTGGGATGGGCTCCGCTTTCTCTCTGGCTGGCTCCTGAACTAGGTTCAGTGCTCACTATTTCTTCTGGGGCAGACTAAAAAGGGACATGGAAGTCCTGTGCTGGAAGAGCAAGTAAGACCATATTCTGTGTGTGTGTGTGTGTGTGTGTGTGTGTGTGTGTGTGTGTGTGTGTCTGGTTTTTCAAGACAGGGTTTCTCTGTGTAGCATTGGCTGTCCTGGAACTCACCCTATAGGCCAAGCTGACCTCAAACTCGGAGATCTGCCTGCTTCTGCCTTCCAAGTGCTGAGATTAAAAACAGGTGCCACCACCACCCAACAGACCATATTCTTGCCTGAAGCAGGAAACAGGGAAGGGGAGAGGCCAGGCAGCAGAGGGAGGCTCCTGATCTGGTGTCAACGAGCCAGAACTTCCAGCACACTACTCCTGTCTGCATTCCAGCCTGAGCCTGCTGCAGCCTAGACCTGCCTGACCTGTGGCCCCAGACAGGCAGGGTCAAGCAAAAGGTCACATAGAGTAGATCCTAGAGTGCAAATGCCACTACGGCTGTATCCTTGGTAGGAAGACGGGTCTGAGGAACCTGCTCCCCCCACCTAAAGCCCTACCCACACTCAGGAGAGTTGAATAGATGACCCTTTGGCACTGGTCCTGAGCTCATCATGGTTCATCTCCCAGGCTAAGCACACAGTCTAGTGGATGCAACGCCAGGTTCCACCCAGAGACCACCCTACACAGGAAGCTAGGCAGGGGTAAGCTATAGCCTCCTCATTTGAGTCTTTCACATGTTCCCTGTGTCCTGAGGAGCACCTGTTTCTCCTGAGACCTCTGCCAGGTCAGGTCCAGTCTGTAGTATGCTGTTGCTGGTGGCACTGAAGAAGCTACCAAGCCTTCTTCATGTGGCCACTATGCTTTGAGGGGGGAAGGCTGGTAGAGATCCACTGCTCATCGGTGGCTGTTTCAAGTGGACAGACTCCCATACTCCAAACAGTTGCTAGACTGCTTTGAACCACCAAACAAACACCTGAGTTGATGAAAAGTTTACTGTGGAACTTGCAACTTTACTTTGGAAACAATGGTGTGATGTATGCTGAAATGAGGAACAGACAAGCTGCCCACAAATGTCTGGTCCGTGACAGGGCAGGACCTGGCCAAGTGAGCTACCTTACATGGGTGATGTTAGGACCTTACCAGGTACCAGTGTGGGGTAGGCAGTCTCCTTGTCTGGGCAATCCAACCAAAAGTCAGGTCCAGACTCTGCTAGGTCTCCTAGTCTCAGTGGTCTTGTTCATTTCCAGTACAGAAGTGGAAGAACCCTAGTTCAGAGGACCTCCCCAGTAAGTAGCTGTCCAGCAATGAGTCAGTTTTGCAGTTTCTTAACCCAGAGGCCACATACACCTCCTCTCATCTGCAGAACAGAGTTTGATACCACTGTGGTGACAAGCAGGGTCCCCTTCAGAGGCCATGTCGGTTTGGAGAGGTCTGGACTGAGTCTGTCCCTCCATCTCCAGGGACCGGATCTGCTCCAGATGTCCTAGCCCTGTAGCCTATAGCTTCCCTGGATAACCCTTTCCCTTTCTGCTGGACTTGAGAACACCCAGCAGGAATGTCCCTGGGAGAGGCTTGTCCCAGGAGCCCACAAAGAGGTCCATGGTACAGAAACAGGCAGAAGCATTCAAATTGTCGCTGTCTTCCTGTAGGAAGTTCCAGAGGTGGCCCTCAGGAGGTGGGTCCTTAGGCTCTGGTCCCGTTGGCTGAAGTTCACACCAGTGCCTGCCCAGAGATTCCTTGGATGACTTCAACAGTGGCTGTTCTGGGGATGTACACAACCTTGAACCCTAATACACATAAAAAGAAAGTTTCCTCCAAGAGGGTACCTGACCCAACCTTAGTCCCACACGTGAAGGGCAGAGAAGCCCCCAGTGTGCCCTCAGCCCAGCCTGTCTCAGCTGCGCTCCCACACGCAGGCCTCTCTGTAGGTGCAATCCTCTCCTAGTGGCCTGCTATCCTGACTCTCTGAACCCAGGTGGCCCCTGCCTGCCTCTGCCAGACCCAGGTCACTGAAGGGCCAGGGGTTCGCGCTGCCCAGGGACAGATCAGCCGCTGTCACACGCACAGTGGGTCCGGAGCAACGCAGTGTGCTGTGGGCAGTGACTGTCCTGAGCCTGGAAGAACTGCCCCCGCTGGCCTGCAAGTGGAGGGGTCACCCTCTCTGTCCCCGCCCCCGTCCCCTCCAACTTGGACAACAGAGCCACTCCTCTCTTGTCCTGCCCAATCCCCATATCCCCCTGGGAAGGGCAGCCTCGAAGATGCTCCCCCATCCGCCAACCTTGTAACCTTACTGTTTCACCTGCGAACCCGGCACAGGGCCATCGCCAGCTCTTGAATCAACTTCAGTGGCGGCGGTGGCCACTCTCACACCCAAGGCGGGCCCCAATCGGGCCCAGTTACCCCGCCCCATATGCAAATAATCTATCCCTCAGCCAATGGCCGGTCGAGTAGGGCCCACCCTGCAGGGCTGCAGCCAGTGAACACGAGGAGGAGGCAGTACGCCCCGCCCGCCGCCGCGCAACCCTTCGCGGGCGAGGCCGGCGCGTTCCTTTCTGCACGTCGGCTTGGGGAGGGGCCGCCACCTGCTGGGCGGGGCTTGCGGGACGGCATCGCCGAACGGTGTGTGCCGGTGTCGGTCGTTGGTACAGTCCAAGGCAAGTCCCCTTCCCTCGAGCGGTGGTACCGTCCGGGCTTCCTGCATCTGGGCCTGGAGTTGGGACCGCTGCCTGACCGTGGAGTGCTTCCCTGGCCCAGCGCGAGGAGACAGCTGGACAAGGCGGGCCCTTTGAGGCACAGCAGCAGCTGCCCCGCCTCCCAGCCTGATGTTAGGGCGGACCGGTTATCCCCGCCCAGTCTAAGGACCGCCCCTCCTCGGGAACTCACAACACTCCGGGCGCACGTAGTCCTGGCAGTTACCCAGGAGTGGCCTGGATGGCCAGGGACAACATGCCCTCGGGAGGCACGTAGGCCCCTGCCTTTCTCCAGCGCCTGTAGATCTTCAAAGATATGTGGGTCCGTCTGGCTGTGAGGAAGGGGCTGTTTCTGTCTGACTTGCTTGGAGATTGCCTTTGCCGCGACCTAAACGACCAACTCTGGAGGGAGAGTTCCGCGGAGCGCTGGGCTCTCAAAGGGCTTGCCCCTATGTTTTGAAAAATAGGCGAGAGCGGCTGCTTGGGGAACTGTCACCCTCCTTAGGATAAGTCGGGCCAATTATTTTACTCCTAGGAGGAGATCCAAAGGGGTGGGATGAGATACAGCCAAAAGAGAGTTACTTCCCTCCCTACACACCTCCCTCACTCCAGGTCCTTCCTGTGGTGGAATCATGGGACATTTAAAAGCTCTTAATCACTCAAGATGCTGCCGCTGTTCTTTTGCTTCTAAGGCAGAGAGCCTTTTTTCTTTCCGCTTTCCCGTCCACCTCAACCAGTTTTCCACGCCATCCTCAAAGATAGTCTCCCAGGGAAACAACCTTTCCTTGCTCTAGGCAACTCCAAAGGGCTCTTTTGTCCACCACAGATACCCTGGTCCGTGGCTCAGGGGTTGTGATATATTGTGTACCCTAATAAAATTTACCTTAAGATCAGAGGACAGAGCAAGCCACTAGATTAAACATAGAGGCCAGGCAGTGGTGGCACACACCTTTAATCCTAGCACTCAGGAGGCAGAGATCAGTCTGGATCTCTGAGTTCAAAGCCACCCTGGACTATATGAGATTGACTCAGTCTAGGAGAGAAACAGAGCCAGGCAGTGGTGGCACACACCTTTAAACCCAGTATTTGGGAAGCACACACGCCAATAATCCCAGCACTAGGAAGGAAGTGATGGCTGGTCAGAGAAAGGTATATAAGGTGTGAGGAGACAGGAACTGAAGCTTTTTCAGGCTGAGGAGTTGGGAAGGTAAGAAGTGGTGGCAGTGGCTTGTTCCTTTGTCTCTCTGATCTTTGAGCATTTACCCCAATATCTGGCCCTGGGGTTTTTTTTGTTTTTTTATTAAAAGACCATTTAAGATTCAAGCTAGAGGGGCCAGTCTTCTCAGCTCAGCCTCCTGTCCTTCAACCCTCTACCCTGCTTTTGTCCTGTTTCTTTGGCCTCCCTATGTCCTGAATCTCACAGTTTGGGCTGGAGCCTGCCAGCAGCCATAACCCAGCCTAGTACTGAGGCCCTATCAGGGAAGTACCTGACCCAACCCAGACCTCCAGGGCCTGGAGCCAGGGACACAGAGAAGCCAGAGGATCAGAAATTGAAGGATCAAGTTGGTTGTGGTGATGCACCCCTGTTAGCCCAGCAGAGAGATTGATTGCACCCTGTAACCTTGATCAGAGGCAGAAGCAGGAGGATACGATGCAAATTTCAGGCCAGACTTGAGGGGGTGTGGTTTGAGGGGTCAGCAAGACTTGGCTCATGTGGATCCTGAAAGAATTCCTAAGAGTCATTGGGAATCCTGAAAAGGTTCATATCTTGAGAACAAGGCCTAGGTTCAGAGGACAGATGTCAGGGACTAGGGAGAGAGAGGGAAAAGTCTGGTTCCTTCCTGGCTTTGCCAGGATGCTTCACACATGTGCCTCAAAACTTCCCATCTGAAATGTACTCCTGCCACGCGGTGGTGGCGCACGCCTTTAATCTCAGCACTCGGGAGGCAGAGCCAGGCGGAGATGTGTGAGTTCGAGGCCAGCCTGGTCTACAGAAGAAGATCTGGGACAGGCACCAAAACTACACAGAGAAACCCTGTCTCAAAAAAAACAAAAAAGAAAAAGAAAAAAATGTATTCCTTATCATCCTGTGTGGTGGGTCTATTGTACCATCCAAAATATTTGTCCAAATCCTATTATTTATAGCCTATAATTGTGACTGCGAAAGAAGTGTGTGTGTGTGTGTGTGTGTGTGTGTGTGTGTGTGTGTTGGGAGGGTGTCTTTGTAGATGGTTAAGAGAAAGATTTTCCCCTTACTTTACTATTTTTATACAGGGTCTTATTGTACCTGGCTGGCCTGGAACTCACCATGTAGACTAGCTGTCCTCAAACTCACAGAGATCCACTCACCTTTGACTCCCAAGTGCTGGAATTAAAAGTGTGTACCAGGGGCTGGAGAGAAAGCTCAGTGGTTGAGAGCACTTGCTCCTCTTCCCGAGGACCTGGGTTTAATTCCCAGCACTCACATAGTGGCTCAGAATCGTCTGTAACTCCAATTCTAGAAGATCAAATACTGTTCTGGCTTCTGTGGTACATGCATGTGTCAAACAGACAAACTTGAAGACAAAACACACACATACACACAAAGTATACTCCAGCATGCTAAGCCAAGAATGGATTTTTGAGACCATTATGAATGAACTGGGAGGCCCTAAACCCAATGACAGTGTCTTATGACAAAAGAGAGAACACAGATACAGAGGAAAGTCCATGAGGAAGTGTAATGTTGCCAAAGCCAAGGGACATCTGGAGCCCCCACTGACAGGAGCAGTAAAAACTCTCCCCATGCCTAGACAGGGAGCAAGAAAGACCCTGGCTTACTTAGCTTGAACGCTGACATCTGGCGCCCAGAACTATGAAAGAATAAATTCTTTTTCTTTTAACCACCCAATTTGTAGTCAAAGAAACAGCTGCCTTGCCTGGTCTGAGGAGGCAGCTCCTTGTCTCTTCATCAGTTCTGGGAGTTTCAAACCCCTTGTTCTTACTCAAACCACACTCACTACTGCCCTTGCTTCAGCTTCCTTTGGGAATCCCTTGACTGTTCGGCATTTTTGTTGCTAGGGATAGGGTAGGGCCGAAGGCAATGCCTAGGCTCAGTGTTCACCCGGCCCTGTTTTGTTGTTTGGTATTCAGGTGACAGGGGAAGGGGCTAAACCCTCTGAGAGAGACTGATTTGGACTGGACAGAATAGAGGCAACACACAGCCTCGTTACAAAGTTCTATGTACCCAAGAACATGCATGCCATTTTTATGTCTGTCTATGCATGCATGACATTGAGCAGTGTGTGCCAGCATACATTAGGAATCCAGTAGCCACCTACTGGTGCAGGTCTAGGTGAGCAAGTTGCATTCCTGTGTGTGTGTACACTAGCAGGAACATGTGAGAAGTGGCCAGTAGACAACTCATAGCAACTCATAACCAGTAGGTAGGTCATAGCATTGATGTGAAGGTGGGGTACGTATAACAGTCCACTATATGCTGACCGTCAATGTGTGTGGGGACAGGTGAGAAGTTGTTTATAACACCGGGGTTTTTTTTGGGTGGGGGAGGGCGTATATCAGCAGGTAGGATGTAGAGATATTTGTCTATGTTCTCAAGAGGTACTACTGCTGGGCATGGTTCGTCCATACCTGTGTTACCTGTACTTTATGGGTAGACGCAAAAAGATTGGGAGTTCAAGGCTAGCTTTGGCTACATAGCAAGTTTAAGGCCAGCTTGGACTGCATGAGGCCCTGTCTCAAAACAAACAAATGAAAATGGTACTATCATTGCTGGGTTTGGCCCAGTTTGGCCATAGGCAGCTCCCTGCAGACACCTCTTCTCCCACGCTCGATGATGAGCATGGTGGACTGACATGGCTGCATAGGTGGTGTACTGCTCAAAGACACCGAGGAGGAGTTCTTCATGTCTCACTATGGCTGCATTTGCTTATTATAACAGCTTTTCTTTTTTTAGCAGCTGCCTCCCTCAACAAAGGCAGCTGCGGAGGGAGGTAAAGGGGGCTGGCTTTTGTCTAAGGGGGCTCCAGGTTCTTTGTAGGCTGCCTTAGCCCTTCCTCGGAGATTCAGTGAGTGTTTACAGGTGCTCCTATATCTAACGATCTCCACCAGGTAGGCAATGTCTCCACATAGGGACCAACACATGTAGAGAGCCAAGCTGGGAGGGAGAAAGAGGTGTTTGGTTCAGGGTGAGGGTGGCCTCCCAGGTTCTTTTTTTTTTATCTGCTGGACCCCAAATGAAGCTTTCTCCCTGTATTCACCCAACCAGTCCTCACAGTGGCCTCTTTGAGTATGATCCACATCCCTGTCTTGCAGCAAAGGACCCTAAGACACAAAGAGGGTAAGAAGCTCACCCAAGGCTACATAACTGAGAGCCAAACATACCTGAGTCCAGATCCCCTTCCAAATGGATGGCCCACAGAAAGGAGAGGTCTTGTTCCAAGGGAACCCTCTCTGACTCCATCCTTTCTTCCTTGCACTCTACCAGTAGCAATATTTTTTAATTTATTACTTTTAGCTGTGTGTGTGTGTGTGTATACACATGAGTGCAGGTGCCCTTGGAGACCAGCGGCATTGAATTTCCTGGAGCTGGAGTTGAAGCAGGTTATGAGCTACCATGTGAGTGCTGGGAATTGAACTCTGGTCTTCTGGAAGAGCAGCAAGTACGCAACCATTGAGCAATCTCTCCAGCCCCCGCCAGTAGCAATATT